ACAGCCCGTAATGAGTATGCCCGTTCGCATGTTGAAATTTGACAAGAAGGCTGCGGAGGAGGTAGGCACACTCCCTCTATCAGGGTTTTCAGTGACTGGTTATCTTAGGACCGGAACTGGCGTGAAGCAGACCGAGGTAGACTGTGAGCTTACGCTTTAAGCAGCCGCTATTAGTCCGTACCTCATTAATGATCTGCCCCCTGACCTGACATGGTTTCCGCACAATTTTTAAATGTTATAACAAATCTTTTTACTGAGATACCTTTTTCATATCATGTACTTCATTGTTTGTATTCTTAATTCGAAACAAAAGCACTCGTACCCTAATTTATTATATAGTAGACAGTGCCGGACACCAAAAAATACACAGTGAGATATTTTCCATAACTAGATCTCCACTAGTGAAGATATCGATTAAGTGTTCATTTTCTTTGTTATTTTTACTAACGACTATATAATAAAAAGAACATTAAATACACGGTGGCTTGAAGTTTCATATCTTATTATTTATCTTCTCGTGGTGAAAACTGAAAACAATATTTTTTACTCACTCAAAAATTAAAATTTATATCTTCGCACCGCCGTTAGTCTGCGATAGCAGACTGGCTCAGAAGCCCCCCCCCGGCCCCCCTCCCCCACTGGAGCTGCGGAGAAACAGCAGACTAATATCAGAGGCAGAGTGTAAGAAGGGCTCTGGGTACGAGAATGAGGCAGTGCTGATCAGTCTGCTATCGCATACTACACCCTGTCTCCGTACCCAGGCGTTTCTTTGTAAAAAAAAACAGCGATGCGCATATGACGAGTTCACATGAAGTATTGTAGTACACCGCCGTCTAACATCCTCTATATAGTACTCTATTTGACCTTTCAAGACTAATAATGCAACATATCCTCACACGTAGTATTAGGGAGGCTGGACGCGCAGGGGCGGGAATATTAAAAAAAGGTAATCATTTTTAGATTGGGATTAGATTAGAGCCAGATTAAGATTAAACCAGGGTTAGGGTTAGAGGTTAGAGTGGGGGTTGGGTGGGGGTTAGGGTTCAACTTAATATAAGGCATATCCTTAATCTTTAGCAAATTTGACAATTAAGGATAATCCCTAATACCACGTGTGAGGATATGCAGAATAGTACTGATAGTTTCGAATGCATATTTTGAACGAAACAATACTTAAAATGTACAAATTTTAATATATTCTTTTCCAAAATACACATAGTAATTACTGTATATTAAGATGTACAACAAAGTGCATTATAAAAACGATTTATAATAAAGTAAATTTACATTGCTACGTTTCATTCTCCATATTTATAAACGTAATAACACGTGTTTGAAGTTGCGAAGAAGCAAACATGAATCGGAGTTGTTCGGAAATTACCAGAACATTCAGAAACGCCAGTGTATACTAAGTAACTCGAATCCAACTCGATGTTTCGGGATTCCCATGTATACTATAAACACGAGTTTCGAAGAAGTAAACAAGAATCGGAGTTGTTCGGAAATTACCGGAACATTCGGAAATGCCGGTATATAAATAACTCGAAGTCTACCTCGAAGTCCAACTCGAACTCGAACTCGAACTCGAATCCAACTCGATGTTTCGGGATTCCC